ACGAAAAAATGAAAACTAAAAAAATTCGTAAATACCCAAACAAAGAGGAAAAACACACACTGAAAAAGTGGATAGGTGATGCAAGATGGACATATAATCAATGCTTAGATTCATTAAACGATATCAAGGATATGAAAACCAAAAAAGAAAAAATACAGTATATGCGACAGAAATATATTGTTGCGAGCAATTACAAAGACACTGAATTATCATGGGTTTTAGAGACACCAAAAGCAATAAGAGATGCAGCAATGATGGATCTGTTTAAAAACATCAAATCCAATCATAAACATCTTCAAATTCTGATTTTTTATCTGTTAAAGACATTTTAATTTTTTTTTTAAAATTTATTTCCTTTATTATATATTGAAATCAATTAATAATCAATAAATAAATTTTTAATATGATACGAATAAAGTGAATATATAAATAATTAAATAAATTTATGATTAATAAAATGTAATAGAAAAATTATCTCCTTTATCACGTTTATCAAAATAATAATCCCAAATATAATGAGTAGTTAATTCACGATAAACTTTATCATTTCTTAAAATTTTATATTTCCCGATATTGGTAATTTCAAAACATTCCACATCTTCATATTTAGTTTTCTCAATAGGTTTTCCGTTGAATTCACATCTAAATTCATCTGGGATTTTTTTCAATTTTTTTTCCCTGAAATAGAAAACGAGATATTCATGTGATCCTTCTTTTTCACTCATTGTACCGTGATTACTAAAATTGTAATCATCAGGCTCTATCTTTATGAATAGTCTTTCATTGTAATAAATATCATAAGTATATCTATCGATTAAAAACGCTTGTCTGCTACAAAAATTTAAAGTATTCATAAACAACGTTAATCATTTATATACGCTTCAAAACCTGACGAGGTTGTAGCTCCCCATAAATAAATTAAAAATGAACAAATCAAAACATGAATGACAGATATCTGATCAATATGTTTCGAGCACCGTTATGATCTCTATCTATTTTCAAACCACACAAACTACAACTAAAATTCTTTGACCCTCTCAACTTCTCGTTGATGATCCCACATCTCGTGCATGTCTTGCTAGTATATTCCTCAGTACATTCAATCAGATTCATTTCTGGATATTCCCTTGTTTTATGTCTTAGAAACATCTTAAACTTGTAATGTGACCAATCAAGCATCTTCTTAGCTGTCTTGCTAGATATCTTTCTATTACCGTTTATGTTGCATGCCATATCTTGAGTCTCGAATTTTGGCAACAAAATTGTCTGGTAATTCTCATAAATATATCTGATAATTTTATGATGACAATCCTTTATCAAATTCTTGATCTTGAAAGAGATACGATGCATAGATCTCTTTATCGTGAATATCTTCCACTTATCCTTCTTCTTGTTATATTTACTCAAACAACTCTGTAACTTGTCATATCTGAAGCACTTTTCTTGTATCTTGTCGATATCCTTGTTCCCAAATTCTAGTATATTTCCTTTTGGATCATATCCTGTCA